GGTTACCCCTACATTTTATGTTATGAAATGGAAGTGGCAAGTCTATTCAACACGTGATTAGTTTCTGGTTGTGAGCAAAAGGTATTTAAACTGTATTTTAGCTGAGCCAGAGGAAGGCTGTCAGATACGTTAAAAGAGCTTTTGCAACGATTTTGTTAGTAAAGGCGAATTCTATGGAAATCTGTGAAGAAATATCCTTTCCTTCTTTTCTCAGGAAAATGCTGATGTCAGCATTTTTGCTGAGATTCGAGGCTAACTATCTCGAAAAAATACGTGACTACCCCCATTTTTCTTTGTGGCTTCCAATAGCACTCGCAAAGATCTACTTTTTCCGCGTGGTCCTTACCTGGCGCAAAAACCTTGGTATTTAGTAGGCACCGTCCTTAATTTGAATTACAACTACTGACAATCAATGAGGCTGTCGAATTGATTTTAGCGGGCGAAGTGTTTCGGCTTGCCTTCGCATGGGGTATGCGAGATAAAAGGAAGTCAGACAAGGGCAAGCAGAGAAAAACCTCAAAAATTTCATGTTCTGTGGGCAACATGCCTGGAACAATAAACCAAAACTAGAAATCTCGAAGAACAATTCTGCGTTCCTCGCAAAATACTTGGCAAAGCGTGACTGGCTAAAACATTGGCATGTCATCATTATACATTTCTCAGCCCAGTCCTGGAGTATTAAACAAAATGTAAGCTAAAGACAGTCTTGTTCCAAATCAAACCTTATTGCTCGTATTAATTCTTCTCCAGTTGTTAATGTTGTAGTTTCGTTTCTGCTTTTTCTGGATTTCAAAACTTCCCCCGCGTTTCCATTTCAATTTTTTTTTTTTTTGCAAAGCTTGATGTAGATTATCACGTTACTGCACTCAGTGAGTCGGACGTTTCCAAAATACAGTATTTCGTGGATTTCGAGATACTAGCGACCTCCCAGTCGCTTGTAATGCATATTCTGGTTTGATATGTTCCGTTCTAACGCAAAATCTACTTCGGTCCATGGGACTCCACATTTGGACGCATCGCCAAAGGCAAACATGGCGGCGACCAGGTGATCTAAAAATCTAAATCTCGAACACTTTATATTCAAACCACTTACAAAAATATCGACTTTAAACCCAGTTAAAGAGGCGATGAACAATATTTTTTAGACATTTTTCAGCCAAGGTGCCCATAGAATTTTGATACTGATAAAAAAAAAAGGATTACTCTCTCTCTCTGCCTTTTCTTTCCTCTAAGAGCGCGGATTTTGCGACTGTGGTAGATGTAACTGCACCGAAAACTGGAGCGGTCCCTCGTGTAGCTGCAGTACCAGTTTAGAGGGATGCACAAAGGACGAGGTGAGGTTAAACCTACCCTAGCAGATCACCTTGTCACCTTAAGAAGATTTTGTGCTCGCACTTTTATTTCTTTTACAAAGCTAAGTTAACTAGCAGCGATATTTTTTCGGTCTACTCGAGTCAGCTCCGGGTGCACGCGTTTAACTGTTTTTCTTGTCAACTTTTGGGATTACCAAGTTGAAATTAACATTGGCCTCGACAAATTAGAAGTAAACGCTCGTTGGGTCCAAAATAGCGAGTAGGAGTTTTTTCAACTCCCAGTTCGAGTTTTAAACTTCTAACAGCTAAAACGTATTTGAGTCAGCAATCGAAAATGCCATGAACATGTTTTTCGGTTGCTTTCGATGCCAGGCCCTGTCCACCAAGCAAAAGACCTCTTAAATGCCCTTTACTGGTACGACAGAATAATATATCTCGTTTGGGGAACTTTTCTACATCCTGTTATTGCTTAAAGCAATTCAAGTTGTCAGATTTAAAATTTTGTTACATACTAACTTACATGTAGCTATCTGTTTACAAATTGATGTGTGACAAACTTAAATTTTCTTTTTTAGGTCCTCTGTAGCGGCAGAGGAACTTGCAGATGTGGAGCTTGCGTGTGTAACGCTTCCTTGCCCTACAGAGGCCCCTTCTGCGATGAATGCCTGGTAAGAGATTTAAAACATTGTCATCAATTCTATTATGACAAAAGCATGGTGATCTGGCCTGTTCCAATGACGCCAGAATTAAGATGTAAAGCGATACAATTCAACAAACACAGCTTTACAACGTTGTATAGTCAATTTTCATGCAGTCATGGATTAGCACGCCTGAAATAAACGTGACAGCTTTTAGCCGCGCTATTTCGTTCAACGAATGAATGAATGAATGAATTCAAGCATTTGCCTCTCTACCGTTGACTGATTGCCGTAAACAGTATACTCCGGGTGTATATAGTAATGTAGTGCATAGGCCTCTTTTCAGCTGGTCACGTGACCCTCTGTGTAAGCTACATCAATAAGATAACTACAACAACATTGTTATAAACGTTGTCGCACTCTTTGCAACAGTTAATGAGGGTCCACCAGCTGATGAAAAAGGGTTCTTCTGCGAGCATTAAGTCTCAGAAACCACTAAGGTTAGGTCTGGGAAGTTGGGCCAACTAGGGAAGTGGTCTGGAATAATAAGGTTATTATACAATAAAAACGTTCACGACGTCTAGTGGCTGAAGAGCCTGAAATGAAACCTAAGAATATTGCCACTTAGCTGGGAATGGGGTGATACCAGCGCGCTGCACCTGTTGAATAAAGGAGGTGAAGTAAATTCAAGTCACTTGCTGCAGTGAAACATAAATTACTATGTGCAGTAGACGTGCGCACGCATTGCGGTCCTAATTTCTTGGTTTGTATTCCAGAGCTGTATAGGCAACTGTGAAGCTAATAGGGCATGCGTGCAATGCCGAATGTTTGGTACTGGAGAACTTGTCGGAGAGGAATGCTCTCGAAAATGCAAGGATTTTAAAATCACTGCTGTGGACAAGTTAACACCTGGTAAGCGTACAAAATTATCTCTGTCGCAGTTTTTTCCTTGAGCTTGTGTAGCTGGAGGGAGTTCTTTGTTTTGGTAACGAACTACAGCTTACTTTAGCGAGAAAGGCAGGCGCTTGTCCATCTCACTGACCGCAAGCTTTCGCGCACGCGCCACTCCCTTTCCCTATCCCCCTTCAATATGAGTCCATTTCTTCTGCACGTCTCAAGCTTTCCTGAACATCTCGCGCTGTCTATCACCCACCACCCTTGATTGTTTTGTATTGCTCCCGGTCTTGTGCCTCAAGCTAGCTCGGCACTTCCAGGCACCGTAAAGTTCGTTAATAAGGAGAAAACGTGCGTTAGTCACTTCGTGGAATGGCGAACTACATGTAATTATCATAGTACTACTTAGTTAAACGCTCCATACAACAGAAAAATATTTCTGGAAACAAAGTGTGGCATTTGATTTAAGAGGTCACGTTCCAGGAAGTCTTCGCCCATACCACCAGCATGCGATTGTCTAGCTCCTTGGCAGGGTGGCGATGGGGGATCTTACCCTGATTTCACATCTTTTTCTGCCAGTATAAGCACTCTATCGATAGAACGTTTTCACTTATGTGGCCGGCAGCCATTTAAAAGATGGCAACTCCCACAGGATTGGTTTGGAACACAAATATGGCCGCCGTGTCATTGTTTTGGGACTCCAATATGGCTGCGTGACGTCACGTAAAAGCACTCTATACACATGTTTTGCTACATTCAAGGTAGTTTGCAGATGTTGAAAAACAAATAACATTTTGAGTGGGAAGTATGCAGTCTTTCATCTGCTGGCCGGACACACCTGGTTTTCGGCTAGGTACACAAGATCTTTCCTGTTTTTCATTACGATCTGTGTACAGTTAGTGCAAATCTCCAGTTAGCTGTTGGTGCTAAAAAAATGCATCGCCATCTTCCAAGGTAGAGTTAAGCTTCTAAAACCTACCATAAGGACTGACCTATACTAAACAGCCTCTTGCAAACCTCTATTCATTTACATTTTTCAGCTATGGGCAAACAGTGTCGCTTTCTAGATGAGGACGATTGCTACTTTGGGTTCGCCTACACAATAAAAGCAGATGGACAGTTGGAGATTTCTACACAGAGAAACAAAGGTTAGCATTTAAATGGAATATCGGGATTTCTCAAATTGGTTTTCACCCATTCCTTAACGAAGATGATTCACCCATGTTCAATTTGTTAATTAACATCACCACAATTGTAAACGTATGAAGACATAAATTATTGTTGCGATTGTCAAATATCCCAGAGGGTACTCCCATATGTAAAGGACGGGGGTGCTCGCAGGAAATTTTGAAAAGGACCCCCTAAGAGTTACCAAGATCCTGTTTTGAGGCCGTGGCTTGAATTGTTATTTACCCTTAAGAGATATCAATTCTAAAACAACACATTATCTCTTGTCATATTTTTTCGACTCAATACCCTAAAAGGTACCGCAAAAGCTTGTTTTTTGTACAGCTTAGTTGTTCTATTAGTTATTTTATTTTACCCACGCTTTAAAATCATTGTAAAGCGCTATTGAATATCGATAGAAATAGCGCTTTATAAATAGAGTATTATTATTATTATTATTATTATTATTGTTATTATTAAAAGCTTCTTTTATGGACCTTTTGAGGCTAAATACCCTAATAGCTACCAAAACCGCGTTTTTAAGCCCAAAAAGGTACGACAAGCACCCTCGTCCTTTCAATATGGAAGTTTCCCCCTTGTCATAGTAGTTCTGAGTATTTCTTAGGTCATCATGAGAATATCTTCTTATCGAAGATTATCTCGCCGCGACCGATTCTTGCAGTAAAAGAGAATTCAACCCGCCAATGCATTTGCAGGTCTGTAGCTCAACTGCCTCTTTCTTTTTCCTTCCTTCAGATTGTCCATCTGAAATGAGGGCACTGTTAGTGATTCTCAGCGTAATTGGAGCTGTGTTAGCTGTTGCTTTAGCTCTTTTACTAATATGGAGAGTATTAGCGACGATACAGGTCAGTATGACGTCACCCTTTCCACTTGGCCACCGGGAGCATTTGATAATCAGCCACGGGTCAGCTGCCTTAAATGCTTTCACAGCATTTAAAAAAATTAAATTGAACTGCAAACATAACGGAGAAGTTAGATGATTTCTGATTTGTTCTCAGCTGAAATAGCGTCTTACACGGAAGCAGCCTGTTAAAAAGCTGGGAATGAAAGGCTTGGGGCTTAAGATTATTATTGGGAATGGACTTAGGAATTCAGGATTACCGACTGTTCCATGAATGTAAACTCACTTTTGGGGATGCCTTTATTGCACGTTGGACGATTTTCACAATTTCGTTTTATCTTCAGGACCGGCGAGCGTTTGCAAAATTTGAGAAGGAACAACAGAATGCAAAATGTGTTATGGTATGCTTGAAAAATTTTGTAGTTTACCTCATTATTTTTACTTTACAGCATATGAGAGGTTAGGTACTGCGTCCTGAACTATCGGCAAACAGTTCCACTTTAATTGATACTTGTTACGTTTCCAACAAACGAGAGACTGCTCACTATCACGTTTCTCTAATGATTCTTGGTGTCGTATTGCATGACATTCGGATTAGTTTACTTTGTTTATATTGATACCTACCTACTTACAATATTTTTTTAAATAGAATTTACCTAAAACAGTGAAGTTAGACAGTCATTCATTCCTTCCTTCCTTCCTTCCTTCCTCTTTCCCTTCCTTCCTTCAGTCAGTCAGTCAGTCAGTCAGTCAGTCAGTCAATCAGTCAGTCAGTCTGAACAAGCTCCTTTGGAAAAGGGAAAAGGTTTGTTTGCAGGTTAGCTGCTAAGTCACTCAGTCATTCAGATGCCTGTCCGTCCCCCTTCAATTTTATCCGTCCTTTCCTTCCTTCTTAAATAACCTGTTCTAGGCTCAGGGTTTGTGGGGGCGAGTGAAAACTGAGGGAACGAATAGAGCACGAGAACGAGGGAGATCTGGAAAATTGATACTAACCGAGCGCCTGTAACAGGCTAGTAGTGCGTAGTACAGCTATACAAGTAACGCAGCTGGCTGTTTCGAAATGCAATGGCTCAGATGCTATTGTAAACAATCCGTTAGAATTTAAGTCAGGACTATAACTAGATGGAACAAACACTGTAAGGAATCCTATGCTGACACTATCCTTGTTTTTCTCTCGAAAACAGGCTGAAAACCCCATCTTCAAACCAACGACCACAACCTTTCAAAATCCCATGTACGGAGTTAAAACATGAAGCGGAAAATTATAGATCTAGACAAACATCTTCCGTGATAAGGTACCTGTCAGGGGGACACCTCCGGTACCATTACATCGAATTGTGGTCCAGACCACACGTAAACGTGTGTCTGGCGCCTTCAGGACACCACTCGTTAGGGGACAGTTAGACTCTCTCTAAGGTGATCCCTCTCGGGAGATTCGATTTAGTTAGTCTTCCATTCATGACATCGATGTGCATAGTTGTTAGTTGAATGATGCTATGGTCCGCTTGTGAGTCGAAATAAAAGTTTTACGTACTTTTTATAGCGTGAATTTAATATTCTTAAATCAGTAACTATAGAGAACAAAAAAGGTTTTTCATGTAAGTTACCAGTCTCTAAACGCAAAAATTGTGTTTGACATCTCGGTTAAACAGTCGCCACGACAACAAAATTTTGGCGTCGTTAGTATGCTTTACCGGTTGACTATAAACAAACTCCATCCGCAGCATCGGACGAACTGTAATAGAGTGGGAATAAATGGACATCATTATCAACTGGCAACTGAAAGGAAACTGCCTGTAGCAAGCGGATACGTCATGTGGAGGGATTTTGAATCATCTTAAAAGACCCTGGTCAGCCTCCGCAGTTTTCGATGCCATCGAAATTATTGATATTGTATGATGAAGTGATATTTTGTTGCTTTACTGTAAGTTGTGTTCCTGAAAGTATATAATATAGCAGAACCCCGGTAACTCGAACAGTTACCGGGGTTCTACTGTAGGACCCAAATATATTAGCCAAACTCGTGCATGTAAACAAGGTGTGGCTGACTAGGTGGCCCTTTTATGCTTCCTCGCACCGAAGTTATAACCTCAATAACGGCATGCAAGACAAAAAATTCCAAGAAATGTACATTTATTACCTAGTAAAGGAGTTAATTAACGGCGGTTGAAATTAAACAGGATTGTTTTCATTACAAAACTCACAATCCGGAATTTGAAACTCTACTTTGTCGAAGCTGAATTGGTTTCTTCTCAGAATATTATTATTGGATACTTTCAAGCTTGACACAGAATCAAGGTTATTTTTTTGAATATCAAAGTTTTACTAGCGCATCATCCTGCTACCTACTTTCCAAAGGTCTACATTCCCAGACTCACGGACGCTCTACCAAATCTTGTCACCACAATTTTCGTTTTGCAAAGGCGTCCACGCTCGAAATAAACAAATTTCACCAAAACTTTTCACCATAAAATGAAAACTATATATTGAGAAACTGAACAAATAGGCCACGTTGTTCAATAGATCAATCTTCTAACATGGATCCAAGGCTTTCAGGTCAAAAGTGCAAATTTTTTAAGTTTCTTTTGACCCCCAATTCCCAAAAGAGACTTGCATACGTAGAAAGCACCACCCCTGAAATATAGAGGTTTGTCCCGAAAGCCTCGGAGTCATGTTAGAATATTGATATTTCCTGTTCCCGGCGAAGCAATTTAATTGATATTTCCCTTGAAATCAATCAATAGATCCGACAATTTTAACGCTTGAAAAGTGTTTGCCCTGCCGTCAGACAGACAAACGACGCTACACTCCTTTTTTTCTGTAAGAATATATTTTAAGAATTTTGAGCTTGAAATGAGCGAAATTTTAAGAATATTTTAAGCATAAGCAAGGTTGAGATTTTGAAAAGCATATAATTTTGTGTTGAAAATTTGTAAATATAAAATACAATTATGCGTTTTTAACTAAACCATATATAATTCTCCCTTTCTGTAAACTGCAAAACTAACCAATTGCAAAGAAGAACAGGAACAGCACTAGCCGTATGTTCCATGCTAATAACAAGTAGTTTTGTGTGTTATATCAGGCTTTATCGCCTGCAGTCTGGCTCCAAAATTACTTCAACGCCATCAAAGTCAATAAAACAGAAAGGTCATTCGCCATGATAAACTAAGAATATTCACAAGAGTATTGTCAGTTTAAAATGGGCAGAACAAAAGAAAAGAATATTTAGCCTAGACCAGAAGAACGATATTCTTATATAAAAAAAGAGTGAATTGACGCTCCTTACTTTAAAAAAAAAAATGTATATTGCTGGGACTAAAAATCACCGCCGCACCTGTGAAATGGAATTGATGACAGATATTTCTTTGCAAAATAAACAAAAACTTAATGTATCTCGTTTGGATAGGCTCACTAACACAAAGTTTCTAATAATTTTACACGTTCCTACATCGTACCAAAGGTGACCGACGTAACCGCAAAGATTTAATAAAGGCAGTTCAGTTTTTGTTTTTGTTTCTGAATTCCGCTCTCTTTCCCACCGCAAGCTGTTTCAGAGCTGCGTAGTTCACCTTCCTGTATCCCTCATCGCTCGTTAGCACCGCCCACGGATACAGTTTCTCCACATCCTGGGCGATAACACCGTGCTCAGTCCCTCGTATGCCCAGTTCGGCGACCGCTTTCTTGGACCACACCCAACTGTAGCTCTGGAGACCAATCTCCTCAAACTCTGAATGCGGCATGGCTGTGATGTTTTCTTTAAGGCGCGAATCGCTGAAAATTGCAAACAGTGCCGCACCGCCGAGGACGGTGTTTATTACATCTCTTCTCTCCCTCTCTCTCGATCTTCTAGCTGCTGCTTCGGCTTCTAATCTCCTAGTCTCTTGTTGAGCTCTTCGAACGTTTTCTTCTTGAATTCTTTTTTGTTCTTCTGCTCTTTCCCTCTCTCTTCGTTCTTCTTCCAGCCTCCTCTCTCTCGCGCGCGCTTCTTGTCGGCGTTGCTCTTCCCGCTCCCTTTCTCTTCTCTCCTCGTCCGCTTTACGTTCGCGTTCCTCGTCCAGGCGTTTTTGTTTTTCAATTATTTCTTCTTTCTTGGCAATAGCTTGAGATATCTTATTTCGAGTTTTAGCTCTTTCCGGTTCCAGGGCACACTTTTCCTTAAACCTCTCCATAATTCCATTCTCAGAGTACTTTATTTTATCCAAGTCCTTTTCCAAAAACGGCTCGACGATTTCTTGGAAACTGCGGTCACACAAGTTTGTTTCGAGGGCGGCGTACACATCTGAAAATCCACTCCACGAATTCTGATTGATTGCGGCTTGAAGGTTCCTGGCGAGGTCAGCGATCATTTTTCCGTCCATGTATGCTCCACCAACAGTCTTCTTAGCCGGAAAGCGCTTGAAATCCTCCGCAAGAGAAGACGCGACATTTGCATAATCGTCGCGCGGGAATTGTTCCAAATCGTTCAGTCGTTTCGCGTCTCCCACGTATGGAATGTCTCTGACCTTGATGCAGTCGCGAGAAAAATGCCTCCCGATGGTCTGTCCGCACTTCCCGTCGAGAATAAAATCTTGTATCTGACCTTGTAGAGTTTTTCCCGGTGAAGGAGAGAGCGAGTCTCTCAGAATTACCATCAGTTCTGGGAACGACCTGGTGTTAGCAGCATCCTGTGTCCAAATTTGTTCGGTTAAGCGAGACACGCGATACAAAAACTGTACGTTGTGATTCTGCACTGTTTCCCTGGCAAAAAGCGCTAAACCCGAGGACAAGAGAACTGTGAAGATGCTCAACAAATCAGTGTTCTCGTTGTTACCAAGATTCGTTCCTTCTGTGTCGAGTAAAATTGTGCTTCCGGCGCCGTTTGCGTCACGCACCACTGAGATCCACACGCCAGTGGTACATGGCTCGATGCTGTCATTCGTCTTAAACACTTTCTGAACTCCCTGATTTCTATTTCCGTCGAGAAAGTACCTGATAAAGTTTAAGTTTGTGGACTTACCGACGCGTGAATCCCCAATCGCTCCCACTATCTTGACCTGTCTGGATAGAGCCTCGATGTCACTAAGTGCATCATTACCGAGGATGAATTTCTTGATTTCATCGTCGTACTTCAGCAGCGGTTTGGCTGGTGGACTACTGCAGCGAACTGAGCTCAAAAGAGCGGAAAATATCAGGTGTAGAACGGCGGCAAGTTTTAATTTCATTCTGACAAGGACACCGGCAAAGCCTTCAGAGACTCCTTCGTGGTAGCCGGCCGACGTAAACTGATTTTATGGCTTGTCACGTCTGCTTTTATATTGCGTGGCCACACAGAAACATTATACGTACTTTGACCACGTGTACTTTTTATCTGCTGAATCTTTTCATTGTTATAATCGTTATCTTTTTACTGGGAAAAAGACCACATGTTTCACTTTGTTTCGGAAGTGAGTCATTTCAAGGGAAAGTTCCCTTAGTCACGTCATGTTATGAAGTGCGTGTCTAATATAATCATGGGGTTTGAAAGCGTTTGTATTCACTTATATGACACTGTATATGACCTTATAAACGGGTTAGTAACACAATTATTTACAATCAATTATTATCAGCAATACAAATTACGACAAATTTACTTGCTTTTGGATGAACAGATAAATCCCATTTTCATATTTTAATTCAAATGCCACGTCAGTTACCAAGGGGGCTTTCCCTTATTCCGGGAAAACCTCTCTTCCGGTCGACACGGTGGGAAAATACTGGGAACTCGTGTTACTTGTCTTGGAATAAAATAAAACTAAACATTGCTCTAGCAAAGGAATTGAACCATAATTGATAAATAACGTACGAATAGCGACATTGTGATAATTTAAGATTAAAACAAAACAAAACAAAAAAAAGCAGGGGGAACAAAAGCTTTTCCACAGAAACTATTTTGCTGTCCAAGACATACCTCTAAGCTACATTTTGACTTGCCACCAGTCGACCTTTCAGCTTAATCCTTCGCTTATTCATGTCCCTCGAACGAAGTAAGAGGACACTCTTCGAGCGACGAAGTCGAAGAATTATTGGAAAGGACTTTTAGAAAGTCTAACCTACATTCAAGTTGTATTCAGTGTCCTATTGCGGGTAGAAAATTTGCAAGTATGAAGATATAAAACTTCTAAAATTAATTCTAATTTCGCTGCCACCGAAAAATCTCTATGTCTATCGTAACGTTTTGCCATAAAAAAATGCTTAGACTATCACAAAACGGCAATTCTGGTTTTTATTCTGCTCTGCTGAAAAATGTGCCGGATTTTACTGCAGAACTATGATTNTCAGTCAGTCAGTCAGTCAGTCAGTCAATCAGTCAGTCAGTCTGAACAAGCTCCTTTGGAAAAGGGAAAAGGTTTGTTTGCAGGTTAGCTGCTAAGTCACTCAGTCATTCAGATGCCTGTCCGTCCCCCTTCAATTTTATCCGTCCTTTCCTTCCTTCTTAAATAACCTGTTCTAGGCTCAGGGTTTGTGGGGGCGAGTGAAAACTGAGGGAACGAATAGAGCACGAGAACGAGGGAGATCTGGAAAATTGATACTAACCGAGCGCCTGTAACAGGCTAGTAGTGCGTAGTACAGCTATACAAGTAACGCAGCTGGCTGTTTCGAAATGCAATGGCTCAGATGCTATTGTAAACAATCCGTTAGAATTTAAGTCAGGACTATAACTAGATGGAACAAACACTGTAAGGAATCCTATGCTGACACTATCCTTGTTTTTCTCTCGAAAACAGGCTGAAAACCCCATCTTCAAACCAACGACCACAACCTTTCAAAATCCCATGTACGGAGTTAAAACATGAAGCGGAAAATTATAGATCTAGACAAACATCTTCCGTGATAAGGTACCTGTCAGGGGGACACCTCCGGTACCATTACATCGAATTGTGGTCCAGACCACACGTAAACGTGTGTCTGGCGCCTTCAGGACACCACTCGTTAGGGGACAGTTAGACTCTCTCTAAGGTGATCCCTCTCGGGAGATTCGATTTAGTTAGTCTTCCATTCATGACATCGATGTGCATAGTTGTTAGTTGAATGATGCTATGGTCCGCTTGTGAGTCGAAATAAAAGTTTTACGTACTTTTTATAGCGTGAATTTAATATTCTTAAATCAGTAACTATAGAGAACAAAAAAGGTTTTTCATGTAAGTTACCAGTCTCTAAACGCAAAAATTGTGTTTGACATCTCGGTTAAACAGTCGCCACGACAACAAAATTTTGGCGTCGTTAGTATGCTTTACCGGTTGACTATAAACAAACTCCATCCGCAGCATCGGACGAACTGTAATAGAGTGGGAATAAATGGACATCATTATCAACTGGCAACTGAAAGGAAACTGCCTGTAGCAAGCGGATACGTCATGTGGAGGGATTTTGAATCATCTTAAAAGACCCTGGTCAGCCTCCGCAGTTTTCGATGCCATCGAAATTATTGATATTGTATGATGAAGTGATATTTTGTTGCTTTACTGTAAGTTGTGTTCCTGAAAGTATATAATATAGCAGAACCCCGGTAACTCGAACAGTTACCGGGGTTCTACTGTAGGACCCAAATATATTAGCCAAACTCGTGCATGTAAACAAGGTGTGGCTGACTAGGTGGCCCTTTTATGCTTCCTCGCACCGAAGTTATAACCTCAATAACGGCATGCAAGACAAAAAATTCCAAGAAATGTACATTTATTACCTAGTAAAGGAGTTAATTAACGGCGGTTGAAATTAAACAGGATTGTTTTCATTACAAAACTCACAATCCGGAATTTGAAACTCTACTTTGTCGAAGCTGAATTGGTTTCTTCTCAGAATATTATTATTGGATACTTTCAAGCTTGACACAGAATCAAGGTTATTTTTTTGAATATCAAAGTTTTACTAGCGCATCATCCTGCTACCTACTTTCCAAAGGTCTACATTCCCAGACTCACGGACGCTCTACCAAATCTTGTCACCACAATTTTCGTTTTGCAAAGGCGTCCACGCTCGAAATAAACAAATTTCACCAAAACTTTTCACCATAAAATGAAAACTATATATTGAGAAACTGAACAAATAGGCCACGTTGTTCAATAGATCAATCTTCTAACATGGATCCAAGGCTTTCAGGTCAAAAGTGCAAATTTTTTAAGTTTCTTTTGACCCCCAATTCCCAAAAGAGACTTGCATACGTAGAAAGCACCACCCCTGAAATATAGAGGTTTGTCCCGAAAGCCTCGGAGTCATGTTAGAATATTGATATTTCCTGTTCCCGGCGAAGCAATTTAATTGATATTTCCCTTGAAATCAATCAATAGATCCGACAATTTTAACGCTTGAAAAGTGTTTGCCCTGCCGTCAGACAGACAAACGACGCTACACTCCTTTTTTTCTGTAAGAATATATTTTAAGAATTTTGAGCTTGAAATGAGCGAAATTTTAAGAATATTTTAAGCATAAGCAAGGTTGAGATTTTGAAAAGCATATAATTTTGTGTTGAAAATTTGTAAATATAAAATACAATTATGCGTTTTTAACTAAACCATATATAATTCTCCCTTTCTGTAAACTGCAAAACTAACCAATTGCAAAGAAGAACAGGAACAGCACTAGCCGTATGTTCCATGCTAATAACAAGTAGTTTTGTGTGTTATATCAGGCTTTATCGCCTGCAGTCTGGCTCCAAAATTACTTCAACGCCATCAAAGTCAATAAAACAGAAAGGTCATTCGCCATGATAAACTAAGAATATTCACAAGAGTATTGTCAGTTTAAAATGGGCAGAACAAAAGAAAAGAATATTTAGCCTAGACCAGAAGAACGATATTCTTATATAAAAAAAGAGTGAATTGACGCTCCTTACTTTAAAAAAAAAAATGTATATTGCTGGGACTAAAAATCACCGCCGCACCTGTGAAATGGAATTGATGACAGATATTTCTTTGCAAAATAAACAAAAACTTAATGTATCTCGTTTGGATAGGCTCACTAACACAAAGTTTCTAATAATTTTACACGTTCCTACATCGTACCAAAGGTGACCGACGTAACCGCAAAGATTTAATAAAGGCAGTTCAGTTTTTGTTTTTGTTTCTGAATTCCGCTCTCTTTCCCACCGCAAGCTGTTTCAGAGCTGCGTAGTTCACCTTCCTGTATCCCTCATCGCTCGTTAGCACCGCCCACGGATACAGTTTCTCCACATCCTGGGCGATAACACCGTGCTCAGTCCCTCGTATGCCCAGTTCGGCGACCGCTTTCTTGGACCACACCCAACTGTAGCTCTGGAGACCAATCTCCTCAAACTCTGAATGCGGCATGGCTGTGATGTTTTCTTTAAGGCGCGAATCGCTGAAAATTGCAAACAGTGCCGCACCGCCGAGGACGGTGTTTATTACATCTCTTCTCTCCCTCTCTCTCGATCTTCTAGCTGCTGCTTCGGCTTCTAATCTCCTAGTCTCTTGTTGAGCTCTTCGAACGTTTTCTTCTTGAATTCTTTTTTGTTCTTCTGCTCTTTCCCTCTCTCTTCGTTCTTCTTCCAGCCTCCTCTCTCTCGCGCGCGCTTCTTGTCGGCGTTGCTCTTCCCGCTCCCTTTCTCTTCTCTCCTCGTCCGCTTTACGTTCGCGTTCCTCGTCCAGGCGTTTTTGTTTTTCAATTATTTCTTCTTTCTTGGCAATAGCTTGAGATATCTTATTTCGAGTTTTAGCTCTTTCCGGTTCCAGGGCACACTTTTCCTTAAACCTCTCCATAATTCCATTCTCAGAGTACTTTATTTTATCCAAGTCCTTTTCCAAAAACGGCTCGACGATTTCTTGGAAACTGCGGTCACACAAGTTTGTTTCGAGGGCGGCGTACACATCTGAAAATCCACTCCACGAATTCTGATTGATTGCGGCTTGAAGGTTCCTGGCGAGGTCAGCGATCATTTTTCCGTCCATGTATGCTCCACCAACAGTCTTCTTAGCCGGAAAGCGCTTGAAATCCTCCGCAAGAGAAGACGCGACATTTGCATAATCGTCGCGCGGGAATTGTTCCAAATCGTTCAGTCGTTTCGCGTCTCCCACGTATGGAATGTCTCTGACCTTGATGCAGTCGCGAGAAAAATGCCTCCCGATGGTCTGTCCGCACTTCCCGTCGAGAATAAAATCTTGTATCTGACCTTGTAGAGTTTTTCCCGGTGAAGGAGAGAGCGAGTCTCTCAGAATTACCATCAGTTCTGGGAACGACCTGGTGTTAGCAGCATCCTGTGTCCAAATTTGTTCGGTTAAGCGAGACACGCGATACAAAAACTGTACGTTGTGATTCTGCACTGTTTCCCTGGCAAAAAGCGCTAAACCCGAGGACAAGAGAACTGTGAAGATGCTCAACAAATCAGTGTTCTCGTTGTTACCAAGATTCGTTCCTTCTGTGTCGAGTAAAATTGTGCTTCCGGCGCCGTTTGCGTCACGCACCACTGAGATCCACACGCCAGTGGTACATGGCTCGATGCTGTCATTCGTCTTAAACACTTTCTGAACTCCCTGATTTCTATTTCCGTCGAGAAAGTACCTGATAAAGTTTAAGTTTGTGGACTTACCGACGCGTGAATCCCCAATCGCTCCCACTATCTTGACCTGTCTGGATAGAGCCTCGATGTCACTAAGTGCATCATTACCGAGGATGAATTTCTTGATTTCATCGTCGTACTTCAGCAGCGGTTTGGCTGGTGGACTACTGCAGCGAACTGAGCTCAAAAGAGCGGAAAATATCAGGTGAAGAACGGCGGCAAGTTTTAATTTCATTCTGACAAGGACACCGGCAAAGCCTTCAGAGACTCCTTCGTGGTAGCCGGCCGACGTAAACTGATTTTATGGCTTGTCGCGTCTGCTTTTATATTGTGTGGCCACACAGAAACATTATACGTACTTTGACCACGTGTACTTTTTATCTGCTGAATCTTTTCATTGTTATAATCGTTATCTTTTTACTGGGAAAAAGACCACATGTTTCACTTTGTTTCGGAAGTGAGTCATTTCAAGGGAAAGTTCCCTTAGTCACGTCATGTTATGAAGTGCGTGTCTAATATAATCATGGGGTTTGAAAGCGTTTGTATTCACTTATATGACACTGTATATGACCTTATAAACGGGTTAGTAACACAATTATTTACAATCAATTATTATCAGCAATACAAATTACGACAAATTTACTTGCTTTTGGATGAACAGATAAATCCCATTTTCATATTTTAATTCAAATGCCACGTCAGTTACCAAGGGGGCTTTCCCTTATTCCGGGAAAACCTCTCTTCCGGTCGACACGGTGGGAAAATACTGGGAACTCGTGTTACTTGTCTTGGAATAAAATAAAACTAAACATTGCTCTAGCAAAGGAATTGAACCATAATTGATAAATAACGTACGAATAGCGACATTGTGATAATTTAAGATTAAAACAAAACAAAACAAAAAAAAGCAGGGGGAACAAAAGCTTTTCCACAGAAACTATTTTGCTGTCCAAGACATACCTCTAAGCTACATTTTGACTTGCCACCAGTCGACCTTTCAGCTTAATCCTTCGCTTATTCATGTCCCTCGAACGAAGTAAGAGGACACTCTTCGAGCGACGAAGTCGAAGAATTATTGGAAAGGACTTTTAGAAAGTCTAACCTACATTCAAGTTGTATTCAGTGTCCTATTGCGGGTAGAAAATTTGCAAGTATGAAGATATAAAACTTCTAAAATTAATTCTAATTTCGCTGCCACCGAAAAATCTCTATGTCTATCGTAACGTTTTGCCATAAAAAAATGCTTAGACTATCACAAAACGGCAATTCTGGTTTTTATTCTGCTCTGCTGAAAAATGTGCCGGATTTTACTGCAGAACTATGATTAATATTTCATTCCAAGAAAAATAGGAAATTCGGTGTTTTTACCCTATTTTTGAAGAGGGATTCGAAAGCGGGAAATTCCCAACCAAATGACGTGTCCAAAGACTTGTTTTTGTGGCTTGATACGCGCCTATTTGAAAACAGTTTTTCTCAGTATGTACTGCAAAATGAAGCTGCTGGCGTCTTGTTTTCTCATAGCGATGTCCGTCGCGATTAATTTCGCTTCGAATGCTCAAGGGGAGTCAGCTCGACTTCTCATGAAGTTCAACAAAACGCAGAAAACTTTCGAGTTGAACGAAACTGTTCTGGAAGAATTGTCTCAGCTACAGCGACCAGTACGAGTGATCGCTGTAGTAGGCGATGCCCGGATTGGAAAATCGACCACAATGAACCTGATAAGCCACATCTGGACCAAAGTGAATCGAAACAAGGTGGAAGAAATATTTGAGACCGGTGACACACTCGACTCTGTCACGCATGACGTATGGTGTCACATCATCCAAGACGAGCGAGGAGGTAACGTCGTGTTGCTAGATGTAGAGGGCACAAATTTAGGTGACGACGCTCTTACGATTCAGCTAAGCATGTTTACAGCCCTGATTTCATCCGGCTTGAACGTGTTTGTTCGCGAAGTGTTTCAGAATAATAACTTACACTTCCTATTTCACATGTCACGCCTAAGTGATCTTGTCTTCCCGAACATTAGTATGCAAAACTTTCCAAAGTTACAAGTAGTCATCCGAGGTGCACTACGCGAACCTGGAGGTAGAACGATCGAGGATTACACTAGAGATTCCATAGTGGAGCCTTCTTTCCAAGAATCTATGCAAGAGGAGAGAAAAACAATAGCCAAGCACTTCCCAAGAAATCAAATCGCTGTGAGTCAGATTCCGTTAGTGAGTCGAGAGCTGTTCAAAGATTTCGAGAAACTACGCGAAAGTGACTACTGGTCTATAATGGAGCAGCTAGTTGGCAAATTCAAAGAATTTCCAGTAAAAAAGACCTTGAGGGGAAGTCCCATAGATGGTAAAGGTTTAGTGGAGTTGGCCGTTAGACTCGCGGAGACGATGAATGCAAACTCGTGGCCAGACTTTGCAAATGTTTACGACGCCGTGGAAAGAAATATTTGCAAGAGAAGCCACGTCAAACTTATCGAGCCGCTTTTTGCGTTAGTGAAAGCCGAGGAGATCGAGGAGAAAAGTGGAGACGCACTGGACGCGTTTAAAATGGAATGTGAGTTGGAAGGTGAGATTTGCGCTGCTCGAGACGATCTACGGCGCATCGCTGAAGAGAGGAGGAAAGCGGAGGAGCTGGAACTGAAGGCGAAGAAAGCTGAGGGTGAGAGATTAGCCGCGGAAAAGAGACACGAGGAACAGGAAAAGAAATTTCAACGTGAATTGTCGATCAAAGATGATCAGATCGCAAAGGTAAAGAGAGAAAAGGAAGAAGCCGAGATAAAAGAAAGAAATTTTAAACAACTTCACGAGGAACAACTGAAAACCATAGCTTTGCTTCAGCAAGCATTAAGTAAAAAAAGCAGCAGCCTGTTCGATTTTGTCGTACCTGTTGCAGTTGGAGCAGTTATTGTGATGAGCGACAGGGATTTAAAGCTAAACATAACCACACTACCCCACTCCCGTTACAATGTAATTGGACTCGAGGGCGCCTGCTGGGAATGGAATGAAATCGCTCAGAAAACTTTCGGACTGACCGGGGAGGAGTGCGGCGTGATCGCACAGGAAGTAGAGAAGTTGTATCCATTCGTCGTTACCAGAGGAAAGGATGGCTACTTGTTGGTGCGATATGACGTGTTACACCAGATTATTAACACTCGACATGGCAAGAAATGCGCGCCGGAGTGTTAACTTAAAAAAGGGGGGAGGAGGGGGGTGGGGGTGATATCTTCATCCAATCAGAAAAAAAAACAAAAAACAAATTCAATGGTGACGTAACTTACGTGGCGTGTTTTCCCGCGCTTGACTCTGACTGCATTTTTCAATCCTGAAGTTTTAAGGCGGTTGGTTAACTGCGATTATGTCTTTTTTTGTTTGGTTACTAGGATTTTTTGGCTTTATTTTTTTCTAGTTTTGATCCAAGTTTACACGCAATGCAAAACCTCTGAAAGTCCACTTAGCTGAAGAGGGAGAAAAGTTTAATTGAAACTACTTAATATAACTTAAAAAATAGCCTATCATATGTCCATATTTTAATTTTGTGAAATTTTCTGTTTCCCTTAATTAAAACATACCGAGTGCCTTGTTCAAGCCGTGATTTGTTATTTCCGATTTTTAGCATATACTCAGACAGAGGTATTAAAGATAAACGAACAGCACGTGGAGATTTTAAAGACATTTTCCGTGTATCACTGGGTAGATAGCAAAAGTTCTTTCTTTGCCCTTTCCCCTTAAATGTTCAGTTTGACCTGAATGCCAAATCATCTATGGATAAGGGCAAAAAATCTTGACATAGAGGGAGGGGGGGGGGGG